TGTCAAACATTGCCTTCTTCCACTGAAACAAAAACAGCCTAAAATTTGCTCCTGACTACGTCATTTAATATTATTTTAAATTGGAATACAACATAGAATTATTTATAACTAAAGATGAAACAGCTTAGAAGGAAGGAAGCAGATGTTAGTAATGTATGAGACTGGTGACTTAAAATCAGTTTGACCTGCTTTCCGGATGCAAACTGAATTCAAAGGACTACGGAAATATACTTAAGGGACAGGAGGTCACTAACCTTAGCAGGTCCACAGAAGATTTAGTCTTCAGACCATAGGTGCTACTAAAATGAGAGATAGTAGCAGTAGGGAAAGTCGATATGGCAGAACTCTTTGCAATGCTGTTATGCTTTAAGTGCTCCACTTAAAAATGCATTTAAATAATTTTAAGGGATATGAAGAAGAGCACCAGAGATGAACAAAGGATGGGAAAAAATTGAGAGCTTAAACAGTTACTTTAACAACGCAAGCTGAGGAATGACTTGTTCGGTTTATAAATACCTATAGTGAAAAGAGCAATATCACAGCATGCATTTCAGTTTAGCAGACAAAAGGTAAAAGCTCTGACAGCTGGATACTGAAAGATGACATTCAAGATAAAAGGCACATTTTTAACTGTAAGTAATTACCTTGTGAACAACTTGGATGGATTCTTCATTGTGAGGAGCTTTCAAATGAGGGCTGGATGCTTCTTTCAAAGATGCATTTTAGTTCAAACAAGAATTTGAGGAAGTCTTGGAAACTGCACTCCACAATAGAGGAGGCCAAAACACTGTTTCCTTCTGTCTTCTGAGTCAGACAAGTGGAATTTACACTCGAGCAGTTAAATTTGTCTCACAGACAGAAGTCTCATGCATTTTGGACACTTTGGAACACATTATACAGTTGAGAACTGTATGGCTACACTATACAGCTGCCTGCAAGGAATTAACACACAGATAAAGGAAGAGTGTAAAACTGTGTAGGCAGGAGCCCCTATTTCTGTCCCGGAATAGAGAGAAAAAAAAGCAGTAACAGCAAGCTACAGCCTAGTGCATGCCAGAAATTTTGTCCTCAGCTCAAGTCTGCTGGGGACTCCGATCCTTTCAGACTTTTGTGTTATCACAAAGATAAAGAAGCAAGTCTCGTCCTCAGTGAAATAAAGATTAGCAGGCCTAATATCCTGTAGATAGACTTCATAGTGTAAAAAAATCGAGCCAGAAGAGATGGAAACACTGTGCTGGTGAAAAAATCTACTGCTTTACTTGTACCTATACCTGTCAGGAGAACAAAGGCTGCAAACAGTGAGTTTGCACTCTCAGTGAATAGAAAGACCTCCATTGATGGTACTCCTCTTTGGATGTAAAGCAATATGGTTCAAGCCATTGTTCCACCTAGCTCAAAGAGGAAACTTGAAGCAGAATCTCCTGTACCTTACTTTATGACAGTATCTCAAGCCATGATGTTGCTGGGTGTTTTGGGAATGACTGCCTAGTTCTTGCTGTAAGTTTGATCTTGAAGAAAAGACAACCACATTTTGAAAAACCTGTTTTATTGAAAATCTGGGATACAGATTTAGTTGATGAGCATTCTCCTCCAAGAAAGGGACTAAATTTTTTCACCCAAGTAATCCTTTTGGTAACAAACTATCCATACCCTTCACAATTCAGACCTTACGCATATCTGGCTGGCAGATTAAGCTAGTGTAGGAGTTCACCCTGCACAGACAGTGAGTATAATGTACAGTCATCACATGGAAGTAACAGTTAAGGAACTGAAAAATTCTTCCAAGTTTTCATGACAAATCTATGGCAATGGTCACGCACTGCAATATATTTTTAGAGTTCTGTAAAGGCCACTTTGAGTCAGGCTCCTCCCAGAAATCCTTTAATTCACATACACTGTTAAAGCTCACATGTCACTCTTCAGTAAGAAATCATAGTATCACTTTTGGATTTGCACTTTCCCACATGGGGAACATGGTCTTGTGGAAATAAGTAAAGCATGATTTGGAATCAAGGACTTGGCAGCTCAACAGCACTAGACCAAGCCATATATTTTTCAACTATATACTTTATTTGATTCATATTTCACAGTCTATTTCTGTAAAGATTTAACAAAAAGGTCATGTTTTATAACAGGGCTCTTAGGCTACTGTATTCAAAGCTGACAATGAACTCAAAAGGTACAGAAAAAGTTTACATTCCAACTAGAGCAGTAGATCTTCAAAAATATGTAGCAAAAGTAATCAAAAATACCAATGTTTATTTAACCTCAATAGAAAAACAGCAGTTTATCTGAGCCATGAAGATACCCTGCTTGCTAATTGTAGCAGGAACTGAAGCCCCAGCAGACCATCTCACTGACTTTTTAGACTGGGACACGTGCTTTAGACCAACTTGTCTTGCCACTTTTAAAGTTAAAAAAAAAACAAAAAACAAAACAAAAAAGCCCTCTAAGTTTACTGCTTGCATGTTTCCAATTAAAGAGGTTAATGTTTCTGCTCATCTCCACTGGACCACTTCCAGATCCCTGCCCAGAATCAACATCTACTCTTGCTCTAATACAGTCAACTAATTTTCCTCAAAAGAGCACCAGAGCTATGCTGTTTTATTAAATTGCAGCCAAGAAAGGAAAGTCCTTACTGTTTAAAGCTTTACTAGGACTTCTCAGAATAAAGGCAGCTAAGAGAAACTGAACAGAAAGATATCTGACAATGCATCTGTTATTAGGGCCTTCAAAATCCTTTATGGTAACTGCAAATTTTGAAGCAAAATTTGTCTAGGGATACAGCTCCTATGGGGCCCTGGCCTTACCTATACAGAGCTCCAGGAGTTTTTCTAGTTCAGCAAAACCTCTTTAAATCTGCACTGATGCCCAGTAGATTTCTAAGCAGCTGCTGGACATTATTCCAGATTTATCAAATACATACTTATACAGATTAACCATTTGAAATGCCTATCAGCTATAAGCATACACTTCCAGCTCACTCTTGGTGTTGTCAGGGAAAAATGTACGTGGTGCTGACAGGACTATGAGAGAGTTTTAGCAGCTAGAGGTTCCCTAAGCCAAAGTGCCAGGCCAAGTTTTTTGCCAGTGCAAGGCCAGGTTTTCCATTCCCTATACTCCAACAGAGCAACAGAAATAGGAAGGAGATCAAATAGTAAAAAAAAATTTCTTTACTGTAAGGGTGGTCAAACAGTGGAACAAGAGGAAATCTCTATGAGGGGGATGATACCCCATGCTTGAAATATTAGAAAAGACATTTGGATAATGCCCTTATTAACACACTTTAGCTTTCAGTTAGCCCTGAAGCAGTTAGGCAGTTTGACTCGATGATCTTCGAAGGTCCCTTCGAAGTAATGACACAGAATCATTTAAGAGGTCACCGGTGTATTCACTCATCATATACAGCTGGAATTCAACTTCATTTTTCTTACCTCCTTTCATCTCAAGAGAAAACCTGAATCCATCGTGTTTTCTAGGAAGACAATCACTTCCTATTAACACATTCTGAACTTCCTATTCCTCTCTATAATTGATAGACAGAATAAGAATGCTAAGAAAAATAGAATAGATATCCTATGCACTTTCCCATACTACACCTCTAAGACTATTAAAGGTATCAGATCAATGGAACTGCCTCCTACTCCTTCCTCTAAGAAGCTCTTATCCTCTGGGATTCTTACATAAATGGCACAGGGCCCCACCTTATCTACCCACCCAACAATTGTCATTTAATGCAGATATCACATGCAGTTCTGGAAGAGCTAGTTACATCCTACATTGTTAGACTGTATTATGCTGCTTTCCTGCCTTTTGGTTTCTCTGGTTCAATTTTGATATTGCTGTGCTGCAAGTTGGGATATCCTATTATGCACAGTTATAGTGAAAACACCATATAGTCTTCAAAAATCTGTCTCAGTATATTCCTATGTACCGTGCTACAGGAGCAGCAGCACAGCAGTTCAGCAGGAGAACAGGATGAACAATGAAACGCACTGCTATTAGTTTGTTACAGCTCATAAAGGGCTTTATGGGGAACCCTGACACAAAATTTATCTCTAGGCCTCTGGCTAGGGAAAACATGACTCCCATTTCTCCTCCACATGAGACATCTACAGCATTTCTTTACATCGGTTTTTCCCTAAATAGGGGGAAACCCCTTATTAAAGGGAAATCCCTTGCACCTTTTCTACTGAGTATATTTTAGGAAGTCTAGAACAGCATTCTCCACAGCCTTCTCTAATCTTAATTCCCAAAGGCATCAGAAAATGAAGGGGTCTAACCACAAACTAGCGAGAGTTCTACTATAATTTCAAGTACCTCTTTTAAGAATCTGAAATGAAGTGATCAGAGCATCAAAATACCCAGAAATCTATACGGCACACTTTTTGGAAAGCATTTTCAAGTGGAAATGAACACGCTAGAATCAATCCAGATTTCTTATCCCTCCTAGGAAGAGACGTTCTTAGCTCGTTTATACAGCCTGCCTCTGGTAAAAAGCAATCAAACAGACCCTTTTTACTGGAGGGACTGACAAAAGTGTCTAGATAAACTGACATCTGTAGAATAGCTTTTGCAACTGACAACTGCAGATGTCTGCTAATAACACTGCATAAGATGTTAGCCCTTAACTACATTTAATGTCAAGCAGGCTAGGGATGAGACACAGTTACATGGACAAAAATGGTTTTGTTTAACTTCAAACTCAAGCAGATAAAACTTTCAGCAAGATTTTCCAAGTTGACATCTTTTTATTTAGTTATTTTTAAGTACACATATTCACTCAATTTCTCTCAGTAATAAAAAAAAGGAGGGAAGGGAGATGGGAGGACTTGTTTTCCCATGGGCCTCCTCTACTCTCACTTCTCTCCTTTTTTTCATTCTTAGCAATTGATTTCATAGATTCACAGAATTGTAGGGGCTGGAAGGGACCTCTAAAGATCATCTAGACCAACCCTCCTGCCAAAGCAGGCTCCCTAGACCAGGTTCCACAGGTAGGCATCCAGGCAGGTCTTAAACATTTCCAGAGAAGGAGGCTTCAGTCTCCCCGAGCAGCCCGTTCCAGTGCTCCGTCACTTCACCCTTACCGTGAAGAAGTTTTCATACACATCTGTGTGTAACTTCCTAAGCTTCAGTTTGTGGCCATTCCCCCTCATCCTATCGCCCCTGCTGCAAAGAGTCTGGCCTTGTCCCTTTTCCTCCAGCACCTTAGATATTTATGGACATTGATCAAACCCCTCTCAGCCTTCTTTTTTCAGACATAGGTTGCTCAGCCTTTCCTCATAAGAGAGGTGCTTCAAGCGCTCTGCCATCTTAGCGGCCCTCTGCTGGACTCTTTCCAACAGATCCCTGTCTTTTCTGTACTGGGGAGCCCAGAACTGGACACAGTACTCCAGATGAGGCCTCACTAGGACAGAGCAGAGGGGGAAGATCACCTCCCTTGACCTGCTGGCCACACTCCTTTTAGGGCATCCAAGGACACCATTGGCATTCTTGGCCACCAGGGCACACTGCAGAGTCCCAGGTCCCTTTCTGCAGAGCTCCTCTCCAGCAGGTTATCCCCCAACCTGTACTGGTGCATGTGGTTATTCCTCCTTAGGTGCAAGACTCTACACTTGCTCTTTTTAAACCTAATCCGGTTCCTCCCTGCTCAACTCTTCAGCCTGCCCAGGTCTCGCTGAATGGCAGCACAGCTTTCTGGTGTGCTTCCTCCCAGCTTCATATCATCAGCAAACTTGCTGAGCGTGGACACTATCCCCTCATCATCAAGGGCACTGATGCAGATGCTGAACAAGACTGGGAGCAATTTCACAGAAAAAAAAAAAAAAAAAAAAAAAAAAAAAGAGTTTAGCCTTATAAACGAAAGATGTATGGATAACATTTAACTAGTCTTGCCAAATTAACTCTGGTGAACAAGTGTCTTTCTTGCACAATGTTTAAAAATGCCTCTGCATTCTACCAAGAAAATCTAAAGCCTTTTGCTCCGTACACTTTTTAGTCACTAACGGGAAGTGCAAATAAATACAGCTTTGAAACAAACACTTCCAGTGCAAGCCTTGCAATTCTCCTTCATTCATCTTTACAGATCAAAATCCAACATATGCTCAACAAAATCAAGTCAGCGGGCTCCTAAGATTCTTGTCACTTTGGTCAAAGATTGCAATAAATACAGAATGTTGCTTCACCACAAGCAGATCTTCACTAATTCAAAACAATTGTAACCCCAAAAGCAAGACTCTCTGTCAACAGTCAGCAACAGTCTGATAGCAGCCCACCAAACTGATCTTCTCCTCACACCAACTCCCTTCCTGCAACTGGTGATAGCCCAATACTGGGGACTGTTTTGCCATGCCACTCTCAGAACTGACAATCTGAAGATGGGAATAGGAAAAGACTTGCTTGCAGAATTCTGCAAATGACTGTCTTCTCACAGCAAGAATGGGAGCATGCCAGCAGAGCACATCCAAGCTTCCGAAGTCCAAGACAGTATAGAGTTAGCATGGAGTTCAAGGTCATACTGGAGTAGCGAGTAGTCATCTTGCCAAGATCCCACTGTGCTGTCCCAATCCCAGTCCCACGGATGGCTGTAAAGACAAGCTGTGAATGCATGCCACCTTGCACATCTTGGACTCAGAACGTTCAAGTAAAAGCTTGAGACAGGAAATAGGAGGCACAGGAATAACTTAACATCTATGTACCATTTTACTACATGTTTGGATAAGTGGAGTCTTCAAGGTTGCTATTAGCTTTATCTGAGCCTGTTAGCGATGCTTCTAGCTCTGCCCATGACTGTGGAGCATTGTTCTTTATTGCTTCTATGAAAAGCTGTGTTTGGTGCTTCAGCCTGTCCAGCTCAGCTTGAGTCACCTGGTTCTGATGAATGAGCTCCTTGGTTTTTAAAGTGATCTCTAGCAATCCTGACCTGCGTAGCACAACGAGTGTATTCTGAAAGCGCCTGCACTTACTTTGCTGTTGCAAAAGCAGCTCGGGGGTAGTGCAAGTCTCTTCTGGTATCAGTGGCAGGCTCCACACTGCAGATTGCATTGTAGTTTGTGATGCACTCTCATTCTCATGAGGAGTGCACTTTGCTGTCTGTAGAGTTCCAAAAGGCAAAAGAGAAGCCAAACCTGGAACTTTTGGAGTGTCAGCAGAAACGCGATGTAAACCAGGAAGAGTTGACACTTTTCCAGTTGTCATCAAGCTTGAAGAACTTTGCTGGTTAGAATCTTGAGGAGCCTTAAAGCTAACTGGTAGATGGGCAAAAGGACTAGTAGACAAACCTGTGCTCCTTGATACAGGAGAAGTCTCCATTTTAGATGCTTCTGTGCAGAGTCGTTTATGGCAACTGGTTTCCTGATGTTCCTCTAGATCGAAGGAGTGGTCTCTTTTACAGGGCTGTGGTGCTATTTTGGGATAAGAGTTCAGGATGGGCAGGTAGTTAGTGGGATCGTTTCTCTTTTTCCCGACAGGGTGAGGGTTAATGGGAGGTGGGATTGATGGGTGAAGAAATACCAGCTGTGGCTGAGCTGGAATCACTTCAAAGGATGGCTGGACAGTCCAAGACTGGAGCTGGGATGAACTCCCCTGAGAAGCATAAATGGGGAAAAACAATTCTTACAGCAGTGCTACTGATAAGGATTAAAAAACCTTAAGCAAAACAGGTGAATTATGCCATTTCTTCATAATTGATACATGCTACACAATGTAACATACTGTGAGCAGCTTATTATCAAACTTGTTCTTCTCTTCTCTGACAACAGAACGTAACACTAAAATCAAAGCTGAAAACCATACATAGAGAATATATTTAAAAACAATTCAATTTATACACACTTTCCCTAATAAGAATTACAGTGCATGCTTGTATCATGCAGTGCTAGTGTAAAATTATTACTGCACTTGAGGCTAAAGAAGAAGTACACAGAAAATTTGAAAAATAAACTTGAAAAATTCTGGTTATGAAATATTCCAGAAGAGTTGGAGACAGCACAGATACTTCAGGAGCAATTCAGACTCCCCCTTTGTTGAAACGCAGCAACTCCAATTCTGTCATTTCTATTCTTACAGCAAGCTTTTGAAATGGTTATTTAACACAGACATTACTTAACGTAGCTGCTCAGTAAGTCTTGGAACCACGAGTACAATAAACAGTTGCAATAAATTTAAAACCATGAAGTTGAAAGAAGAAAAAATAATGACTATCAACCAATTCAAGGAAAACTGCCTGTTCTAAGCCCCAAGCAGTTTAATTCCATCCTTTTGGTGAATCCTGTGCAATGCCTTAAAAGCATTATATGTCAAGAAAAGTGTTCAACTTTTTATGTCCTTCCACAAATCACGTTCTGCAATATAGGTAGGGTAATACATCAATTTTTACGAGACTTTACCTTTTCTTTCACAAATACACTACTGGGGAACTTCATGAGATCTCCTGTCCTGCACACCTTTCTCTTGACGTATCAAATGGTCTGGTAAAAAATAGTATTTCTTTCAGGAAAAACAAAAACAAAAAAATCTTCACTTCTTCTAGCACAATATACTCTCTGCTGTTTCTCCAATTTCTGTGGTCCACTATTTGGAATGTTACTGCAGGCCTGCTGAGGGCACTAGTTTTAGAAGCACTACAGTATTTCATTCTTTTCTGTACTATTTTGATTCGTCTGAAATCCAGCCTCCTTTCTTCAGCCTCAGAACATTTAAACTGGCAAATGCTAACATGCTTTGCTGAAGTCCACTCCTGTCAGCAGAAGACTTAACTTGACAAAGGTGGGCATCATCCACTGATTCAGATATTGAGACTCGGCGATGAGATTCAATTACCAACTCTGACACTGAGTTCAGTGGGCAAGAAGCTCTGTAGTAGTTAACATTAGTTCCTTATTTCACAGACAAAAGAACACATCCAAAAGAAAGGTACCCAGACAAATTAAGAGTGGGCAAGTATATATACATGCCATGGCTATATAAACATTAGACAGAACATGAAACCTGAAGAGCAAGGCTTTGGACTCAGAAATTGTTATTTATGCAGTACCCAGCATACTGGAGCCCCAAATTCATCGAGGCCTAAAGAACTGTGATAACAGTCTACCACACTCTTGTTTTTATCCCCTACTCCCATCTCCACTATTCACCTTCTTGTCCTTTCCATTCTCATTGTGTTCTGCTCTTATAGTCACGCCCAAAAATGTCATTTTTAGTAGAGGAGACATTAGTTTTACAAATTCTGCAGTCAACATCCTGCACATACCAGTGTTACTCACCTAAAAAGCCTTCTCACCTATTATAAACTTCTAAAAACTTTACCTCAGCACTACCATATTCCAGAGAATCACTTCCTGCTTTATTTTTTTTAGTAACATAGTTAGCTGTTTGCACTCTGAAATCAGGACAGCAGATAAACATCACTAAGCAGAAACACAGTGGTTTTAGGACAGAAGGTGATGCTGACCGAGACTGAAACAGATAAACTGTGGTAGCTAGGGACACTGCATTATTATTATTATTATTATTATTATTATTATTATTATTATTATTTTGGTCCAGGGAGCCTAATTGAGAATTGTGTTGAAAAGAGCACATTAATAAGATGACCAGCATGACCACTTGAGGTAACAAGACTCAGCGGAAAGAGCTAGAAAGACACTCCATCATTCTGACCTTGTCTTGCTGCTTTTACTTATTGAAATGAACACTTTCAATTTAAAATGACTGCCCTTATCCATAAATAATTAGATTTAAATGTTATGAACTGCTCCAATTAACTGAGTCTGGTAATTTTATCTACATCTTCCTCTGCATCTTTTTTTCCTTTTGCTACACTATCAACATTCAAGTTATGTGTATCATATGGATACTTCTCCTTCCTATTTGTAACAAAATCAAGAATTCAAAATGCCCAAGTTTTGAACCCCAGACCAACAGCTATCAGTCTGTGATGAAGCTTGCCTCTTCCCTATTACAAGAAAACCTGGGCATTTGTGTTTTAAGTCATGTACGTTCTGTCCACACATCTGAGAACATGGCTATAAAAAAAAAGCTTCCTGTCAAGATGAAGCACAATGCTCAGATCAGAACCATGTGCCCCAACAAATGCATAACCTGTCAAATTATTGGAACAGGTTACCCAAAGAATTGTTGGAGTCTCTGTCCCTGCAGGTATTTCAGAAACATGCACATATGGCACTCAGGGACACATTTTAGTGGGCATGGTGGTGATGGATGGACGGTTGGACTAGATGGTTTTGGAGATCTTTTCCAACCTTAATGATTCTATGAAATATTAGCAAGAATCCACCTCTATGCTGGCTCTGACACACAGCATTTAACAGATTTTTCTCCTTTTCAAAACAGATTCAGTATAAAAGAATGAAGATCTATTTCTTTTTTCTTCACTCTCACTGTATTCTCATATGTATTCTAACAGTAAAATAGGCTGAAGTACTTTTGCCTTGTTTATCAACACGAGTAGAAGCAAGAAGCCTAACAGTATAGCAGTACTTCAAACTTGTAGCTTTTGCACCTTCTGTCACATTACAGACCTTTTTGATGTCACACAGAAGCGCTAGAGGAGTAACACATAACACGATATTGGAAGGTATAAACATGGGATGTAATTGTTGCAACGTGAGACATGATATGTAATTAAGAAAAAAGCTGCTCAAATAAATATACTGAAACTAATTTTAGATACAGATTTGTTCATTTATAACTTTCTAGATGAAGGCTTCATATTGCATCTAAAGCACTTCTAGAATCTAAGAAGTGGAAAGCAAAAGCAATTATCCTACTCCTTTGTCTAAACTGAACAAGAATCACAGAACGGCCAGGGTTGGAAGGGACCTCAAAGATCACGAATCCCCAACCCTCCTGCCACATGCAGGGCCACCAACCTCCACATTTAGTACTAGACCAAGAAATCATCAGCTTTTGAATGGAAAGATACTTATTCTGGTTTGATCTTTGGTGCCATTTGAATAACATCATAAAGATCTATTTTTTGCAGATCCCTTTGAGACAAAGAGCAGATGCAATGCAGCTTCTGTACTTCATCTTTATCCCCCCTTAGCAGTTTTAGCTGCCTCTCCAAAAGAGGGGTTGTTATTAACAAAACTTTACAAATTACTGCTTACTTTTTGGACTGCATCAACTTAATATAATCCTTTTTGAAAAGAAAATATAAAAAATTTTTTTTTGCAGTATTTTCTGATATATTATTTTTTCCTTACCTGCTTTACTAGAACATTTTTCATTACAACCATAGGAGAAAGTGCAGGAAAGGAGCTGCTCGTGGTCACAGGGCAAGGCCAAGGCCCATCCTCTGCATTCCAACACAGCGCATTCAGGACATCCTCAGAGTCAGTATGCTCCATAGCACTTAGGCACTCTGAACTGCCATCTGCCAAATGTAGAATTCAGCTGTTAGTAATTTCTCATGCAGCATGCTTACTGTTTCCTTTCTGTTCTACTATTCTGTGCCCTTTCAATTAAGCATAGTGAATAATAAAGTTCAATTCTGCAATACCAATAAAATTAGATCTTTTGTGACAGCTATTAAGTGACCTTTATTTATTAAGAGACTTTGTATTTCACAACAGCTCTGATGCAAATACTGTCTCCACGAAAATCTATTTATTTTTGTTCATCTGTATTTAGTCTCCAAGGGATGACATGCTACCACAAAGTCAGCTCTGAAGACTGTTACACAAAAGAGCTAGCAGATTCAGGTCCATGCTGCAATCTTTTGCATTTTTAAATCTGCTACCTACAAACCCAGTGTGCACAGTACCTCCCACAAAAACACTTTTAACTTTTAAAGGAAATCTTTGTATGATTATTTGTTGATTATTAAAACAGAACATACTGTCTACATTTTGCTGATGTTACAAAAATCACAGTTTTATCAGGCTCTAACGACAATCCAGTCAAACTGCAAGACATTACATGACATAATCCAATAGTTCATTGATCACTGCAAAGAAAAAAAAGTTAATTTCCATTCCCACTTCTAGACTCTGAAGAAAAGGATTCCTCCATTTAGTTCTTTATTAGGCACATTTTTATATTCTTATGCCACTGAAACTCACAGGATGAACTACACAACGCTCCACTCCAAAAATTTTGATGGTAGGATTATTTTTTAACCTGCCTTAGATATAAAGACCCTACCATGTAATCAAACACAAACTGCAAAGGGTTGGAGTCAGCTTTATCCAACATCACCAGCACTCTGAAAACAGGAAGAAAAAACAAAAGTAGCACAGTCTTTCTAAACCTGAGTATCCGGAGTCCTTGTCAGATTCAGCTGCTGCCATGCTGAAGTGATGGTTCAAGCTCTTCATTTCCACCCGTGTGCTCAGTATTTTTTTGAGGGTGTCAATACGTGACTATTCTGTCTCCATGCTTCTCCAGTGCTGCTGGCTGTCTTCAACACCTCTTCCATCGAGGAACTATAAAAACCATTAAAAAACAAAACAGAGACTTCTTCTGAATCTAACAAAAGATACAACAGTATAAGTCAAAAGCGGCTATGCATGTCCTTGCAGAAATCTTACCAAAGTTCTGAGGCATCTGTTAAGCAATCTGGAATTCTATTAAATTTCCAGCTTCACATTTGCTTTTTATCACAGATTTAGGTTAGCAAAGACTTGCCAGTGAAACCACTGCTTATTCCCTGCAAAACACTCTGAACTATTCATATTTAATAACACATTAGAGAACAGAAAAGACAGGCCACAATTCTTTGCATCACATTACTTTGTAGAACTTTCGGGACTCAAGCCTTCCACCTGCCTCAGGCTAATTTCTTAAGTTTCAAGGAAGTTCCCACAATACAATCTTTCAGTTCCCTGTACCAACTACAAGGAAATGATACCACAGTAGACGTGGCTGTTGGGTCCTTCAGAATAGGTTAAAACATGTCGAAAAATCTAAGACAGAAATAAAGAAATTAACTGAAGCAGAAGTACAGTACAGTTTTTTTGTTGTTCTTGTTGAATGCAATTGCTCTTTTAAAACATGCTATTGCTGTGAACACTGCCAGTGGATAAATCCAAGAGGAGTCAGAAGTACTACAGACATGGATTTGGCGGAAGGGCAGATGACCATATCTTGTTCAGCTCTTTCCTTCAATAGCTTGGCAAGTCAAGTACAGAGCACAGGTCTGCCAATCTTACTGTATTACCTGAAGTAGAATCGTTCCATACGTAAAATCACTGGTGCATGGTACATTCATTTTGGGAGCACAGTACATATTTCTAACTTTGCTAAAAATTCCGACAGATGAGGCAATAACTCACAACTTCTGTGGCCACAAATGTTAATAAATAGAATCACAGAATCATTAAGGTTGGAAAAGACCACTAAGACCACCCAGTCCCTATCAAGTCCAACCACCCTCCCATCAGCACCATGCCCACCAATCCACATCCCTATAGATGAATGTGATTTCTTGAACTGGCAAAAATGCAATGCCCAGCTCTACTGGATGGCTCTGAAGTTCAGCATGATGGTTAACCAAGATCAAATAGCAGATATATAGTGTACAGTAGTCATCTGCAACTAAATCAAGGCTCTCCTGAGTGAAGTGGAATAGTCACTTATTTCTTTCTACACTGCCAGTAAATTAATTGGAGACTTTCGGGGTAGCTCAAATGACTCAAAGAATGAAATGTAAATAGACAACTAAAATATTAGAGCCACTTTTCTTCCTACAAAGGCAAAACAAGCTAAAAGCTACTCATAAACAATTTTTTCCCAAGAATTAAAGTTGCCCAGGTTACATCTGTCTTCCAAACAGCTATTCTAGGAGCTGGATTGCAAATAAGTCAGCCATGCTGGATGAAGCCCACACAACAAACACAGTTGAAACCTGCAAAGCTGTGGTTTTGTTATAACAGTCTGTTTCACTCTCTGAATGAAGCAAGTCTTGTAATCAGAGAACAAGATAGGGATGAAGAAATCCATACTGCTAAAAGCACAACACATAGTATACCTGCAAGTCACTCCTAGTGGAGATGTGGCCTTAGAAATGCCTCCCATACCCTTTCTGAATGAAAATTCTGAAAGCCTGGAACTAGAAGTGACAAAACAGAAAAATGCAGTTACATGATGGCCTCCTGCGACACACACTCGTAACAACCTTCCCATGCTTCCTAAGGGTAGGTAGGCTTTTGTAAAACTAAGAACAGTTTCTCGTCTTATAAAAGGTAGGAGAGACTTTAGCTAACAAAAAGCTGACAGAATGAAACACAGAAATTGACCAATACTATTCATAAAAATTTCCTATAAAGCAACTCTTTCAAGTTTCATCTCATGTTAGAGCTGTATATTTAAATTAAAATTACAGAAATTTTGAACTTCACATAACAGACAGAGCAGGAGCCCATTAACAGCACTGACTAGTGACATCTACCTCAAGTAACACTGCAACATACATATTCTGGAATAACCTACCCCCAGAAGTAAGTTTCTCCTTAAGGTCCTTACACTTGATGGCTAGAATTGTGCTTGAAATTCTTAAGCCTTAGCACCTCCATTAATGAATTCTGTATGTTGACTGACATGCTGAATTCCGCATGACTGCTGACATGCTAAGTGGCTGCCTGTAAAGGCAGAAGAATGTTCAACAGAAGAAAACTTAGTCACTAGTCTTTTGCCTCATTTCTACTTCTGTCTTCAGTCACACCTGCTGACCTGCTAACAGATATGGAGCTGTCAGAACTACAGAAAAGCAACCTAGGTGCTATCCCTGCTCTGTGTCTCATTCGTAGAATCATCTGATAGGACTTATCAAGCAATCACAATCAGGAAATCCACTAATTACTGGCATTTTAAACTAGTTATCAGTATACATTGTAATCTGTATGAATTTTAACTGGATTAAAAGCTATGAAGATAACCCTGCTTCGCAGTCACTACCAGAAAGCATGGCTAAATGTTTGCGATATGGACAAGTGCTAAATGAAGGAGCCAGATCCCAGCTTCTGTTAGCTATCCTTCTCCAAAGCAGACATTAGTTAAGAAAGCACTGCGTATGGAATGCTAGTGCGAAGAAGAGCTAGCAATACATGAAATACAAGCACCCCTTCTGTCAGCCAGGCACCCCGTCGAAGGGACCCACGAGGCTCACAGAGCCCCGCTCCCGGCTCCACACAGCACCATTCAAAGTTCAAACCCTACGGCCGAGACAGCTATCCCAGCTCTCCAGCTGCGGGCCCTGGAGCTGCGACCGCCGCACGCAGCCCGCTCCACGCCCGACCTCTCTGCGGACGGAACCTCATGCCGGCATCCGACCGGCGTCCCCCCAAAGACGCAACTCCAGGCCGTTCCTCGGCTCCCACCAAGGGAAGCTTTGCGAGCTGCCGGTCCATCTTCCCTTAACGAGGTAACTAAATCAGAGACACCCATCCGCAAGCAGCACTCGGGACGGCGAGCGCCGAGCCCCCCCCCCCCCCCCAGCCCCCTCCGGCGCTGCCTCCCACACCGCCGCGCTCTCACGGCCCCCCGCCTCCCCGGCGCCTCACCCGCGGGCAGCACCGGGCCGGGCCGGGCCGTCCCGGAGCGCAGCGGGACGAGAGGTGCGGCGCAGCCCCTCCCCGCGGCGAGGCAGGGCCGGTCCCAGCCGAGATCGGGCCGCCTCGAGCACTACGGTCACACCGCGCTCTCAGCGGTAACGCGCGTAGGGCCGCGACACCCCTCACCTGGCCGCCGGCGGCCTCGGCGCCACCCGCTCCGCGCGTGCGCGGCGCCACCACCGCGGGGCGCAAAGCTCCCCGCCAGCCTAGACGGGCCCGCCCCGGAAAGGGAAAGTGACACAGCCGCTTCCCTCAGCGCTCATGCGCACGGCCGCCTGCTTGCGCCCTCTGTCGGTGGGGTGGGTGCAGTGCGCGTGCGTGCCCGTTAGGGCGGGAAGGGCAGTGGGGTGCTGTGTGGCGCCGTGTGTGGCGCGCAGCCACCTCGGGCGTTGAGGCGGGAATAAATTCGGTCTGAAACCGTGTTCGCTGCTCCTCAAGCGTACGGTGGGGTCGGGTGTGGGGGAGTGGGCAGCTGTAGATTCACGGCTGTTGTGAGTATACGCGGGGCTCGCCAGGGAAAAAGGCACACTGAGGCGATGCCTGAAAAGCACTCGGGAGGTCCATCCACCCCGCTGCTGTCAGAGAAGTGTTGGAAAAGAGAATCTTCGCAATAAAAGCACTAGTGCTTTCTGCTATATGCAGCAAGTATGGAAGTGGGTGAAGCTGCCCGGCCTGGACACCTGAGAGGATCGGGCAAGTGAACAGAGCCAGGAATCCGGGGTGCTGCTGGAGTTCCCAAGTGCTGTGCTGAGCAGTATAATTCATCTAACAAATGACAGTTTAGGCTTTTCTAGTGCCTGCTGTGCTGTGAGGAAGAGACGTAGTGTATGCACAGCCACATAGCAAACAGGGAAGGCAGCATCAGAAGTCCAGAAATGGAGAGGGAAAACACAGCAGATGAAAGAGCTGTCATAAGCAAATGAGGAGTAAAGGATACTCTTCTCCTTGGTTGGTAAATATGAAATAGTGGAAGGAATGTGTGTGTGGATTTGCCTTCCGTGAACTGCAGGAAGCCGAGGGCAAACAAGGAGGACGAGGAGGATCTTCTACATCAGTGACTACAGCAAGAATTGATGTTCTTTTTCTAAGACCCCTAAACGCTGCCAGCAGCCAGAAGTCTATCAGGATATTTTGCATTTGGAGATGAAAAGCAGTTTCATGAGAGAAAACAAAAGGGATGTGTGGAAGGGCTGAGCAACGACAATGATTTCCCTGAATAGTAGTACATAAAATGAATGCTTCCATTGTAATGGTGGTCTTGGTTAAAGAACCTGAAACACACTTATTAAAAAGATCAATGTGATCTAATAAGTTCCCGAATGGAAATGAAAGGAATCTTTAGCCTCAGCCCTCTTTTGCAAATAACCTGTCATGTACAAAGCAAATCAAAATGTTTGGGGCTGTGTGAAATGACATTGTCATTTTGAAAATCGTACGCAGAATGGGATTTCATTCCTACCAATTCAAAGTGCTGTGAAAGAACTGTGGTTACATGGACTGCTAGAATGCATTTTTGAGTATTTAAATATCAGATCTGTCTCCGAGTACATCTAAACAGTACTGTGAGATGTGTGATATCTAGGCTGTGGATTTGGATCCCTTACCATTTTGGAGTTTTGGATTCTGAGGAAAAGCATGCTAAGAATGCTGTTACATCATGATATTTGCTTAGGCATGGTGCTGATTGCCATATTCCCAGAAACAACCCTCTCTGATCTCCACAGAGACCAGATTTTTCAGAGTATAGAGTGTTCATGGGTTCTGTCTGAAAACAACTCATCAGAAAGCAACAGACCTGTATTTGGGAAAGAAACGTGCCCTTCAGTTGAGCTGATTCAGAACGTTCGTACTGCCTGACACCAGACTTTCATCCAAGGTAGGAGTATGGAACTACTTTCCTGTTCACAGAGAAGTTTTACTGGATAGTCAAGGTAAGCCTCTGTCTTAAATTAATTATATCTATCACTTGAATTCTTCCTGCAATCAGTGGAATTATACCTTAGATGTGAATTGAACATTATCACCTGAATTCATTGTATTCTATAACATCGAGCTTTAATTTGTGTGTTTTTAATAATTTATATCATTTTCCCTTTCTTCCCTCTTGATCTTTCGTTGATCCAAAGTCTCACATGCTGTGTGCTTTCAGTGATTACTGTCAGTGGCAACAGGATGTTTTCCTTTTTCATTAAGCTGCACTGTGGTTTGTTTATTCTAAAGGTGAACATCTTGGCAAATGAGTGTTAGCTTTTCATTCACTTCCTTGTTTAGTTTGGTCATGCAACAGGAAAAGAGTGGAAAGGGTATGGGTAAATTGTGACTGCATGTTTGCTCAGTTTAGGTGTTTCAGCATTTTAATTTTAATCTCTTTTTCCAGGAAAAGATGTAGAATTAGTCTTTGGTGACTCAAGCAAATGTTTATCCAGTGAAGTAATTAAAAGGTCTTGTGTGGTTGCTGAACAGTTACAGGTGATGATATGTGGACTTCATATATGCTTACGGAAGAAATAATCTTTCGTCCTAACACAGTAGAAATAAATGGTTGGCAAACTCTGAAAGTAAAACGTAGCCAGATCAGAGGAAGAGCACAGTTTGGTAATACATTGTCTGAACTGGAGAGGCAGGAGCTGTTTGTTTGAAAGCAACAAATACTCAATCTTTCTTCTTTATACACTTGCTGATTTATTTTGCTGTCACTGGCAAAATACACTTTAATAGGCGTTGCATTGAATTAGCTTGCAAATAAATAGCTTTATACATGCCCCTTTATTCAACCACAGCTAACTTCAGTATTTGATACAGACATCTTGGTTGTTTTTGTTATTAGTTTCTGTAATTTTAATAGATTAATTGAAGAATATTGATGAAACGCCACATCTAAGTTTTTGTCAGTCTTAACCAAAGAATGGATACAGATATGAAGTAGTTGCTTCAGTTTTCAGAAGATTGACACCAAATCTCAAATGTATTTCCCCTTGTATTTGTGTTGTGTGTGTTGTTAGACATTAGAGCATTGTTAAACCTTCTGATCTGTTTAAAAATACATTCCACATACAGGCTTTATTAACATTGTCTTATTTAATACTTATTAAAGCGTGAAAGAGATATATTGTGGTCCTTTACTATGACCTACAGTTTTCATAGGTCATAGAATTTCATCCAGCAGTTCTTTTAACAAGATTTTTCTCTAGAGAAGGTATTTAGCACTTGTTTGTTTGCTTTCTACATTTCGAGTTTATGCAACAATGCTTTCATTTCAGAATACTTACCTTTCAGCTTCAGGTGTCCATCTGCAACTATATCATTAACATAAATGTCTCCAAATTAAGAGAAGGCACCATAAAGGTTATTTCACAACAGATGCATAACAGAGAGAGCACAGCGTGCATAAAACACGCACCTTTGGTGATCT